GTGTGTTCTAGCTACCCCCAAACAAAAAAGATGTTGTCTTTCAGGCCTTTCAACCAACGATATTTGATACAACCCTGGAGTTGCTAAAAGCTCAAAGCATTTTCTTGTAAATTGCTCGTGGATTAAATTTGGAGAGTCGGAGACCAAACAAACAATAATGGCACTGGGGAATTGAGATAATGAAGTCCATCTGGCTCACACCCTTCACCAATGATCCTTCCGTACTAAGGTCTTGTATTACAAACAAGTCACTAAAGAATGAGATGAAACAGTGTAAAGTCTTAGCTAAATGACTGATTAACAGAAGGCTGAAAGGATCAATGACAAAAAGAACATTATTCAGAGTCAAAGAAGGTAAAGGATTGACTTGATCGAACCCATAGAGCCATTAGCTAACATAATAGTTGAAAAGACCGAGGAGAATAAGATGTATCAGGAAATGTATATTTCTTGCTAGAAATGTCGTCAGAAGCGTGACTCCGTGATCTAAGGAAGAAGTGTTGTGGATTGTGAGATACAAGCAACAGGATTATCTGTCTGAGCAACAAAAGCTATTGGTGGAAATGTCTGCTTATTTGCTTGATACTGAAGATGGTCATTGTATTCTTCCTTATATATAGAGAACATCTGATGGTTAGATTACGATTGGATTCAGTCTGAGCAACATGAGCATTTTTTGGTTTATCGTGGAAAGATGAATTGTCTCTCTGGGGAGTGCACGGAATCTGATGATCCCGAATAAGGAGGCGAGGTGATCTGGAAAATAGAACTCACCAGAAAGTGGTGACAACAGTGCCCACGCTTAGGCGTGTGTGCAGATCTTGTCAGAAAGTGCATTGGTCTGATTGATGTAGGAGGTGCGTGGAAGGTCAGACGGTGACGGAGCTTGCTAGGGTTTGCTCTGTTCTTCCGCTTCTCGTGGTGATGTTGGTTTGGTTGCAACACCTGGGGAAATGGATCTCATCAGACAGCCAAGAAAAGTTGCCTTACATTTTTTCCGAGTTTAGAACTTTCTCTTCCTATGTTATTGACCTTAACCAGGCTCTAATATCATGTGAAGCGGATGAAAAATGAGAGGAACTCGGTTTGATTATTCCCTCGAGCTATGGGGTTTAAATAACTATGTTTGTCTAAAAAGGAAAGAAAATCAATACAAAACAATACCCAAGTATAGTGGGAGTAAATTAAGTTACCTACTATATTTACATATCTTCTAGAATATATTCACAAGGATTCTAACACTGGTTTTGACAGTTCATCTGGTAAAATTTACAGTACAATGAGCATTCAGAAGTGAAATCCTGATCTCCTTGGTTCTTCCGTTCTTTTCAATTGCTATTGGATAATGATGTGATTAACTACTGTCTGTCATTTTAGATTTCCTTTCTCTTGCATGTTTTTCTTTCAGTTGCATCTTGATAAGTTACTCCTGTATTTTGAGCCGATCGGTGCTTTAGTCTTTTTTATGAAATGAGTTGAACTTCATAGTGCTTGCTGAAAGTTTGATCTTTATATTGTTCTTATGAATCAGAGCCTGTGTTTTGTTTCTAGATGGTTAAGCACCATAAGCTAATTTACTAAAAATTGGTCCCTCTGAAAGTTGTTTGTTGGACTTCTCCATCACTTAATTCTTCTCAAAAAACTTCACTTTTGTATGAGTATCATGCTGAATACCATGTTGTGTGTACCTATTCTACTGAAGTTTTCCTCCATAAAATTTTAAGCTTGTGTGGTTACTGACTAGAGATGAAGCATTATTACACCCTTATACTCTCTTTTTTGCTTTTGTTTGGGGTGGGGAACAGAGGGTGTCTTGGGATGTTGAGTGGACTTGCTTCCTCTACTCCTCCTTGTAGACTATTGATGTTCCGGAGCTAATTTTAAGGATAATCTATGTCTTCATCTTGTGCTGAAGCGAATTCTTTTACTTTTCCACCTTCGACTTGGAGATTTGGGTGTTTATTGAATAAATGATGGCTTAACCAGGTACATAGAACAACTTGTTGCAAGCGCTGAGGCTGCAGTGGAAGAAGTTGTACGCCGTGGAGTAAGTTTTTCTTCTTCTCGCTGAACATACATTGCATGGAACGTAGAAATTATGGCTGAGTTTTCTGGTGCTTTGTTTTTTAGGTGGCTGATCCAAAAAAAATTGCTGTTGGTGGTCACTCCTATGGGGCATTCATGACAGCAAACCTCCTTGCCCATGCACCTCATCTTTTCTGTTGTGGAATTGCTCGTTCTGGTGCTTATAACAGAACACTAACACCTTTTGGGTTCCAGGTAGTCCTCCCCAGTCATGTGTATGACCAACCAGTCTAAAGTCCTTATGAATTGATGTTTCTCTGTGCATTCTAGGAGGATTTAGTTCATTCAGTCGCATTGCTAAGAACTTTTTTTTTTCCCAGAATGAGGAGAGAACACTTTGGGAGGCGACCAGTACTTATGTTGAGATGAGCCCTTTTATGTCAGCCAATAAGATTAAAAAGCCTATATTGCTTATCCATGGGGAGGAGGACAACAATCCAGGAACATTGACGATGCAGGTAAAATGATGGTCCTCTTATTCTTATTTCAGTATCACGTTTTAAGATAGCCATATCTTCCTTGAATATTTCCCGTCAACTAACATAAGCAACACAGTAGCAGATGTTCTTGGTTTACTCTGTACATTTTCTGGTTCTTCCAAGATTTATTGAATCAGTTTGCTAGCTTTGACTTCAATATTCTTGATCCTTAACCCCCTTTTTCTTTTTGCATAAAATATACAGTCAGATCGTTTCTTCAATGCACTGAAAGGCCATGGTGCACTTTGTCGCCTTGTAATTCTACCATATGAGAGTCATGGTTATGGAGCACGGGAGAGTATAATGCATACACTCTGGGAGACTGATAGGTGGCTCCAAAAGCATTGCGTCTATTCTTCAAATGTCAAGGCAGATGGTAGCGTGTGCAAGGATAATGCAGAAGGCACAGTAGATTCACAAAGCAAAGCTGTTGGTGCTGCTGGAGGTGTTCAAGAGCTTGCCAATTTGGATGATGACCAATTTCACTCTATCAGAAGGTCTTTATTGTGGTAAATTCCTATTACAAAAAGTTCTTATATCAAGAAGTTGTTCTTCTGTCATGGAAGTCAAGTTGATTGATTGTTTGCTTGAATAAAGTTTAATGTCTGGATTCGATTCCCCACAGCTCATGTGGAACATTTCTATCCAAAGTTGCGTGCTTTGTGTTTCTCATTTTATTCATATCATCCAAGCTAATTAACACCAAACTTGAACTACTCTTCTCTGCACTTTATCGTTCCATAATGGCAATTCACACATAGTTTTGTTATTCCTTATCATTGTGATAGTCATAGACCTTTATCCTTGAACACCTTGAGTAGATCTATATTCAAATAGGTAATATGTTTGTTTGTAGTTGGGAACCTCCTCAAATTCATTGGGTCCATGTTCAGTACAGAGAGTGATGCCTTGCTTTCTGCTTTAAAGATGCAAGGTGTTGACTGGTTTGAAGTATAGGAAAGGAAAGCAATAATGCCGTTTGTTAATTTTGTAGATGTACATATAGATGTGTGCTTTCGTTTATGTGAAAAGAATGCACATAATTTACAAATGCTGCCTCCTTATTTTTCCTAACATTCTTAGCAACTTACCATTAGATCCTCTCAAATACCTCTCTTTTCCTTTTTCCAAGTTGTCCTAATGCAAGTGCGTTGAATGGCCAAAACACTATTTCTAGTTACCTATATTCATACAAATTTATATTCTTGTTCCTCTCTTTTCTCATATTGCCCATATTTGTTTCTTGACCTGTAGATTTTGAAGGTGACAAGCTAAGTTACCTTGGAGATGAAGCCAGGCGTCCCCAATTAGGTACATATGCTGACGACATATACAACAATTCTATTCAACGAATAAGAACCCTTATAAAGGAGTGCAGGTTGTGTATTTTCATAAAACGTTGTGCTTCTTTAATGTCATGGGTGTAATAGAGCGCTCTGCTTTGCGCGATTACATTTTGGAAGCGTAAAGCTATTGTTCATTAATTAGACGGGGAAGTTCATATTGGATATGCTAAACATCTTTGTACTCTGTACAACGATTAGAAATTGTTGATTCAGCAGTCAACTGTATTGCTAGGTTATGATTTTTGTGCAACTTTTTATGTTGTGCTCTTATTTGGTCCTACTTGGACATTTACCTCTGGGAGATTTAATAACTTAATGGTAAAATAAAAGGAAATAGTGGAAGTGTGAATTAAAGAGGTAGTAGAGGAAAAGAGACGAATAAAAAATACCCGATGGAAATTTAACATATTTCTTGTTGAGTTATCCTTTAAACTCTCCAAAACCAACTACTTTCAAGAATACACTGAAATGGTGCTAGTTATATGCACTTTCAAGATAGTTTTGAGGGACAATTGGATATTCACTCCGTTCCATATTAACTTTAAGCTTTTAAGTCCTTTTTCGTTTTTTAATTACTTTTAAGTTTTTAATCTTCAACACTATTTTTAAAGTATTCTTTCAATTTTATCCTTTAGAAATAGCTATTATAATTAATATTTAGTTATTTTTTACAATTAAAAGTGGACAGAGGTAGTACTACATTTTCCAAACATATTTTTATACAACATTTTTAATAAAAAATAAATTATGATGAAAAAATATCAATATGATGAAAAAATATATTATAAAATATTAGTCAAATTTTTTATAATTTAATTCTAAAAGAAGAACTTATGACAATTAAAAGTAGACAGAGGTAGTCCTACATTTTCCAAACATATTTTTATACAACATTTTTAATAAAATAATTCATCAAGTCATGTTTGTAGATGCTCGTTCTTTATGATATTAGAAAGTATATTTTCAAAAAGTTAAAAGACAGCATAGGTGAAATTAAAAAGATAAATATAAAAATTATATAAAAGTACATAAAGTAAAAAGTTGAAAAACATAAGAAATAAAAATTGAAAAGATGAATAATATATAAATATTATATGTTTGAAAAAAATAATAATTAAAAGGCAAATTGAATGTAAACTCAACTTACGCATCAAAATTAATTAAATGCACCCAAAAAAATTAAAAATAAACATGCCCTAGATGTGATGTTATACTTGACCACCATTGCACCACCAGCCGCCGTTGCAGCACCATAGATCCACTGAGCTCAGCCACCGTCCCTCCCTTTGCCGAAAACAGAGAGCTCCTCGCCTCTTCACTGTCCATCGACCAGCTCTGCCCCATAACTACCGGAGCTCCAGTCAATTTCACGCCGTCAATCATAGCTCCACATTCACCTCCTTCTCATAGATTCACACTCGCAGACACAAAAGATTTCAGCAAGAACTTGAGGTTCAGTCGCCGCTCTGATTAAGTTACAGCTCCTGTTTCTTCTTCCCAAAAATCGGAAACGTTCATTTCTTTCAACCTTGTCCTATTCAATAAATAAACTCATGAATATGTGATTTTTCTAGTATAATTTGTGAAATTAGAGTGAACTAGCAGTCTTAACAGAGTTCTTTTTCGATATATTCCTCTTGGTACTTTGCCTGAGAACTTACTTAGGCCAATTTGGTTTCATTGGGAGGCCTATTTTGCTGCTGCAATGTGTTAAACTTGCCATGCCGCATCGTGACATTGATCGGAGAAGCTTGTACATCGATGTTCAGTGCTCTGTTTAGTATCAAGACTAACAACTGCAATACCCTCTTTGTTCTTCTGGGAGAATCCTTTCTGGTTATTGTGGTTTGCCACAATGCTCAACCTTATTGGTAGACGTCGATGTTTATCTGCTGAAGTAAAATCATCAAAATTGTTGTTGTTCATAGATTCTTCAGCAATCATGCAATGGAACCGATCAATGACCACCAGTAAAAGAGTCCAAGACAGAAGCAAGAAGAAGCGGGTGCATGACCTTGAAATAGTGACAGAGAAGCACAAAATACTCTCCAAAGTCCTATTAATATTTGAAGTCCTTAAGCAGGAGCCTCAGCAAATCATATCGATTAGGGAACTTGATGATTATAGAAGACAACTAAACCTCCCAAAACCCCATAAAATCTCGGCCTTCTTGCGGAAATCCCCCAAGCTTTTTGAGCTGTACAAGGATGATAGAGGTATCTTGTGGTGTGGTCTGACAAAAGAGGCTGAAGATTTAGTCCGGGAAGAGGAGGCTATTATTGAACAACACAGTGATAAAGCTGCAGAGCTTGTGACTAGGATGCTGATGATGTCTGTAGACAAGCGCCTTGCCTTAGATAAAATTGTTCATTTCAGAAGAGATTTGGGGTTGCCGATGGATTTTAGGAACCATTGGGTGCGGAGGTTTCCTGATCACTTTAGAGTTGTTCAGCCATTCAAGCCTTATGATGAAAGTGAGTACTTAGAGCTTGCAAATTGGAAATCAAGTTGGGCTATGACAGAGTTAGAAAGAAAGGCATTGGGGGTTATGCAGGCCCCAGATGATCACATACCTTGTCCTCTTACCTTGTCTTTCCCCATGAAATTTCCACCTGACTATAAACAAGTGTTGTCCAGATATAAGGGGAAGATAGAGGATTTTCAGAAGCGGGAATACTTGTCACCTTATGCAGATGCCAGTGAATTAAAGGCTGGAACACTGGAGTTCAATAAGAGGGCAGTTGCAGTGATGCATGAGCTGCTGAGTTTTACAGTCGGAAAGAGGTTGGTGACAGATTACTTGACTCATTTTAGAAAGGAGTTTGTAATGCCTCAGAAACTGATGAGACTGTTGCTGAAACATTTTGGGATCTTTTATGTTTCAGAAAGAGGCAAAAGGTTTCATGTATTTATCAACAGTGCTTATCAAGGTTCTGAGTTGATCGAGAAACATCCTTTGATTGTTTGGAGGGAAAAAGTTCTAAGCTTTGTTGGTTACAGAAAGAAGAAGGAAACAATGGACACTCTTACAGATTCGCAGGAATATGAAGATGATGATATGTTTGAGTATGAGTCAGAAGATGAAAATGTTCAAGCGGAAAACAACAAGGGTAGTTTAGAGGGAGATTTTCTGGAAAATGAATCTGAGATGGAGATAGATGAAGTTTGTAGTGCATACAGGGAATGAGAAGTTAGCAATGCATACTAGCATGAAGAATCGGGAATCTTCTTTCACTGCATACTGTAGTCATAGTTTGATCCTAATTGACATGTGTTTATCTGCAGACGTTCTTGGTTTCCTCCATGTTTTTCCAAGACTTATTTGATGAGTTTGCTTGCCTGAACTTCAAGAGTCCTGATCTTAACACGGTTTTCTTTTTGCATAATATATAGAGTCGGATCATTTCTTCAATGCACTGAAAGTTCACGATTCCCTTTGTTGCCTTGTGATGCATGGAGCACGTGAGAGTGTAATGCATGTACTCTGGGATACTGAGAGGTGGCCTCCAAAGCATTGTGTATATACTTCAGATGTCAAGGCAGAAGGGACAGTAGCGCGAAGCTGTTGGTGCATCTGGAGGTGTTTAAAAGCTCGCCAATATGGGTGACGACAAATTTCACTGTATCAGAAGGTCTTTGTTGTCAACTCTTGGAATCCCTTTTCCATTTCCTTAAACTGTTCAATGACATATTGCAAGATCCTTTGCTCTCCCCTGATGACAAACTGCAACAACACAAGGGCCATGTATCGGAAAAGGACAATCACGAATAAGCAAAGAGGAATTGATGGAGGGATCAGCTTCAACCAAGTAACCAAATTTGAAATAAGGGTGGGTAAGAAAGAAGAAATTGATGCAATATGTGAAGAATTTATTTACAAACAGTTAACTAAAGAAGATGGAAGTCATTGCCTAGCAGACAAATTGTTGTTGTGCTAATGTTTTGGCCGTTGAATGACCAAAGCGCCAGTACATTTAACGATGTGTTTCTTCATGACATGGCCTCATTGGTTCTGCTTTTTGTGGTTACAATTTAGATGTGTGAAGCCATTGTTCATTAATTAAAAGGGATAGTTCATATTGGTTAGGGTAAACATCTTTGTACTGTGTATAACGATTACAAATTGAGATTTAGACATAAATTTATATCTAGGTTTTGACTTTTTATGTTGTGTTCTTATTTATACTCTACTTTGCCATTTGGTTCTGGGAAAGTAACATAGTTGACACTTGAATTGTACTTGACTTTCATGGACGTAATAACTTGGGGTTAAAAAAATAAAAATAAAATTGTAAACTCTTTACCTTAGAGCCTCGTGACGTAGAGATAATACAATTTTCTACGTCTACTACATCAATTGCAAGCTAATCGAGGTTGCTAATTATTCTATAAAATAGTTCAAAATTAAATTGTGTGTGAGAAGATTTTAGGATTGAAAAACTAAACTCTGTAGATGTTTAATTACTAAAATCTGCTCGCGTGTTGATAGAAAAAAGTTATTTAATCAGCTTTAGTCTCTTTGAAACATGATAATTCCAAACATTATGATAAAGTTGCTAAATGCTTCACGATTGGAACTCAAAATATGATTCCAACGGTTGAAGTTATTTCCCCCAGCAATAATAAGGCATAAATCAACAGGACACTGGTACACATTTTAATCACTAATAATGAACACAGACCTAGATTTAGAAATAGCACATATGTTGGAGAGAATTATCGAAAGACAGACTAAGCAAATACAGTCCCGTATAGATAGGGGAATAAATTTTCTTGTGAATCTTTTATTAGAAAGAACCTATTAAACGAGAAATAATATACTTTTGACAGGGACACGAGTCCGCCTGTTGAATGGCACACTAAAAACTTATGAAAGAAAATTCATTCCAGCCTGTCCAAGCAGGTCAATAACAATCAAAAACTTCGAAGTCAAACATGGAGCAACAAATAGACAGAGAAATACTTGGTTTGCAAACTTATTTTTTTTTCGATATAGGAGTATGTCCATGTTTAATTGAAGAGACAAATCACAGGAGATGATCCTTGAGAAACTATTCTTCTGCAACTATACTTATTTCACCCTTCTCCAGCAAGTCATAAAATGACCTAACTTTTCTTTGCTCGTTCCAGTGGTGCATCTTCCACAAGCTTCCAGCAGCCAAACCAAGTACACTTGCGATAACTATTTCCTTGACCACACTAGGTCCTTTCAATGTGGCATGTGCAATCCTATGGCCAGCCATTTGAATCCGAATGTAGCAAAATTCTGCAAAAACACCACCGGGTAAAAGTTAATTCCCCTCACCCACATTAACTTACACATACAAAACCAACAATAACTAAATGGTCTCAAAAAGAGCATGAAAAGTAGTTAGAAGCAAGTTATACACAAACCACATACAACAAGATAAATGATGCCAACTACATTGAAACAAATATTTAGCAACTGGAAGAGTGACTTCCTCAAACAGTTACCTAAACATCGAGTTGATGGCAATTAAACTTTGAGGTAATCTTTTTCCAAGTAATTAAACTCTGAGGTAACAGTAATGTAACATGAGACAGCCGGACCTCATCATAGGTATGGAAGTAAACTAAGTCCCAGAAAACATTTGGGGGTCTAGTACTAATGCGGTGTAAGTACTAATGTGGTACATCATATTGTTCCACCAGCACACAGCAGTGTAAGTACTAATGCGGTACATAATAGTTCGAGAATTAGGTGATTAGATTATGTTAAGTTCTGAGTACCTACACATACAATTCATGCTTGGTCCATCTACACTGCAACTACCTGAGCAGCCCATTCATTTGTTTGGCCTCTAATTGCAGTGAAATTTGAATTGACCATAGCTTGCACTTTCTACCATGATATCATTCTCCCTCTTCCTATCTCCCTCCATCCTTCCTGAATTCCATCAATTCTCCATCTACTATTTTAAATTGCTCTCTAACCCAAAACATCCTCTTCCAAACAATGGAGAAAATATTCTCTTCTGAATCCATCCTTGCACTTCTGCCCCCAACAACAACAACGTAACCAGTGTAATTCCACATGTGGGGTCTGGTAATATGTACACAAACACTGCCCTACCTTTGTGGGGTAAAGAGGCTTGCACTTCTTCCACATAAAGCAATAAATCCTTTCCATTTGGCTACGGCTTGTAATTAACACATGATTTGTGGAATATTTCAACTGATGAAAGGCAAAAATTTCATCAATAACCCAAGACCACATGTCATGCTGCACTGAGAGTCGCTGCCGAATTCACTTCTATCCATTTGGCTACATCTCGTAATTAGCACATGATATGTGGAATATTTCAACTGATGAACGGCAACATTTCATCAATAACCAAGACCACATGTCATGCTGCACTGAGAGTCGCTGCCGAATTCACTTCTATCCATTTGGCTACATCTCGTAATTAGCACATGATATGTGGAATATTTCAACTGATGAATGGCAACATTTCATCAATAACCAAGACCACATGTCATGCTGCACTGAAAATCGCTGCCTACTTTACTTTTATCCCTATCCCTAATAGCCACTAGGATGCTTTCTCTAAATGTAACTCCTCAGTCTCTATTTCAAGGAAAAGTGAAATAAATTTTATGCTTCTGCTACAAGTGAATCTTATGTGCTTATTGCTAATGACATGTCAAAATCCTGAAGATTTCTTATTTACACAATGCCACCGCCTCCCTCTTTAAAGTCCCATACATCAACCACCGATGTTGTTGGATTAATTACAAAATCTCATCCACTAGTTTTTGAAAATCTTCTCCACAAATATAAAAACAGTATCCGTAGATGATGAAACACAGGAAAAAGAGAAGGAAGAAAATGGAGATAAAAGAAGGGACCAAAATTTGATTTCCTCTCCTCTCCACTCCATCTTCTTCAGTGTTTCATCATCTTCTGTTTCATTTTCTTCATATTTTTTTTTAATTATTAGACAATTTGTTTTCACTTTAGACATATTGGATAACTCTACCAAGTGTAAGCACGCATGTAAAGATAGATGCTAGTCAAGTACAGAAAAATAAAAAAATTCAAAGACTGCAACATTCTCCGCTTCGCAGCAACTCCTAAATCTTTAGCCATGTTTTACTAGTCCTTTCACCCTAAGCCCTAAGGTAGCTAAACATCAAGTATGCAGATTAAATCCTAGTAAAGCTCCTTATTTCTCCGATTAATTCAACAGATATACAGCAAAATTACACAACAATCCAGATTGGAAAATAAGTCTTCTCAAGTCAAACAAAAGAAAGAGCATAGTTCTCACTAGATCTGTGTTAGTACACACAAACAGAACAAATTAAAGCAAAATCCATCAGATCTATGACAAAGTTTAAACAAAAATAAGAAAAACTACCAACGCCAAACAGATAACTTGATTCTATAAAACTTTGCCGGATAAAAGTACAGATCAGAAAACTAGCATAGAACGAATCTTAAGAAACTTCAAAAATTGCAATGAGTATAAAGTAAAAGCTAGGGTTTTACCTGATAGGGAAGAGCTCGGACGAAGACGATGTAGAGAGAAGAAATGGAGCCCTTTACACAATTTGCTTTTTCTTTTTTTTTTAAGGCTTAAACGATGCTTACGGGGACCACTTACGAGTATATAGGATTATTTGGACAGAATGGGCCAATCCGATATAATCGTGGCCCAGTTACTAGTCCACGGGTAATCAAATTTGGTCTTCATAATTTGGTATTTATATTTTTTTAATCTAAATTATCATTAATTATTTTATTAAAATACATTACGAACTTAATTAGATTAAATTTTGAATATAACTGCCAAAAGAAGTATGAAAAGCTAATATGTCAATAAAATTTTGTTACAAAGAAACCCTTGTCCCGAAAGGTGCCTCTTCCTGAATTTACAGCCAGTTCGATCTGGCAAGCCAAAGGGGCCGTATTCTATCATGAGATAGCAGTAAAATTGATGATGGTGCAAATAGAAAATGTGAAAAATTGATTTTTCAAATAGAAAACTTGCAAATTTATAATATTTTATACGTTTTTTTATATTTTTTTTTTAAAAAAGTTTACAGACAAAAACTCAATTAACTCATTTGATTATTCATCTGAAGTGTCATTTGACACTGTTTTTTTAATTAATTAAAAAGAAAAATGGGAAGAGGGGAGGGAGGTTCTTTTAATTCAAACGATCCCTATACTTAAGGATCAAAGTGTACGCCATACATTATCAAATATTAATCAATAGTTAAAATAATAATTAAGATAGAAAACATAAATAAAAAAGAAGATTGAATATGCATCTTTTATTGGTATCTATTGTGTGATATTTAAATAATAAAATCAATATTGGAAATAAATTTACAAATAACAGTACCGTAAAATAGACTAGAAACACGTCTTCATGGATAATGTGTGCGTGTTGTTATTAAAATTGCATTTGAAAAAAACACTTTGTATTTTAAATGTTAAATTATGAAAAGGAAGTTCCAATAATTTACATAACTGAAAATTATGTAAAGTATCTATAACTAATATAGTTAACAATTTAAAATTTTAAAATGTATTAACAACTAATATGATAAAAAAAAATCTAATTGACTCTCTAAATTCCATTCGTATACCATATGTTTGGGACAAAGACTTTCAATAATTTATATTTTTGATATTTTATACCTCAAATATATAATTTTCTTAGAAATTTTGTGATGACAATATAATGTAGACTAAAATTTAGCATATCCTCGTAATCAAAATTTTAGATTATTATTCTTTTTCTCCTTTGTTATATATATTTGTGTATGTTCATAATGAATAATAACTCGAATCTTAATTTTGAAATTTATTTCATTCATTATTTCGATAAATTTGTTATTAATAACTTCTAAGTCTACATATGCATGTAATGCACATATGCAGAATTAGCTATTAAATCATCCAATTATTTAGGTCTTGGATTATTTAAAAGGTTTAGTTCGTAATGTTTATTGGTTTGTAATATAGGTAATATAAGAAGTAAGAACTAAAAACTCATAATAATTACTAATTAGTAGTTTAAAATTGAAAACAAATTTGTTCATTAAAATTTTCCTTATTTAAACTATATGAAGTCTCTTTACATGAATACTTTAAAATAATTATTTTAAATTTATATGAATTTTACTTAAATTATGATAATACCCTATCTAATAGGGAAAATTGTATATAATAGCAAACTAATAACCTAAAATAAATGGAGTAGCTAGAGTTTGATTTAATTGTGCCCCATAGCAAACGTTAGCCAAAGTTTGTCAGGCGCCTCTCTCCCAAAAATCTCGCTCGCCACTCTCCCTCTGCTCGCATCTCTCGCTTTATACACAGAAGTGTATGAATTTGTTTTGTATAAAGCGAGAGAAATTGTCTATACACATGCAAAAACATGTATCTTCGTGTTATACACTTAATTATACAATTTACAAACATTTTACTTCAATTCAATTGTAGACAAATGCAAATTTTATACAAATATTGCAGAGAAAAAGGTCAACGAATTATACAATTGTGAATTATACAATTGCAGTGAAATACAATTTTCTCTAGCTATATACAACAAAAGTGTATATATTGTGTTTCAGTTTTTGTATAAAACGAGAGAAAAACATATACCTTCTTACTATACACTTATAATTATGCAATATACATATATTTTAATTCGATTCAATTGTATGCAAATCAAATTTTATAAAAATATTGCAGCGAAATAGGCAGCGAATTATACAATTGTGCATTATACAATTGCAGTGAAATAGGATAGCGAATTATACAATTGCAGCGAAATAGACCACCGAATTATACAATTGTATATGTATAGCGAATTCTACAGTTTTATTTTTGTTATGAAATGCAATTATGCAAACTTTGCTATAGCATACGAATTTTTTGTTTGCTATATGTGAAAGTTGCCCCTAATAAAAGCATTAAAATTATTGAAGAGAAAGGTTCTGTTTTTTTTAAAAACTTTTTATTCTTCAAATATGAAACAATTATAATTTAGATATATATAACATTTATTTTAAAGTTAATTATTATTTTAAAATAATTTTATTTTTCTTAAATCTAGCCTATTAATTGAAGTGAGATACACGTTTTAGTAGACTAAACTATTTATATTAAATTACTGATAAATGGCGATTAAATTTTTTGACCATTATTAAAAGAGTGGTAAACAAATCTCATTTAGTATGATTTATTATTTAATTATCTTTATACATTGACTCCTAACATATATGGAATACGTGCAAATCTAAAGACTCCTAAATATATGAAGAAAATAAATAAATAAATAAATTTTCTCACGTCTTGATTTGAATGAATATATTAGAAGTACATAAATAAAATAACATAAAATAAAAAAGAATTCGAAGATAAAAACAAAATAAAGGAAAATTTTGAAACCATCCCTATCTGTCATTAATCATAATTGAGTTATTTTTCTTGTACGAATTTTGACTTAATGCACATTTCATTTAATTCTTTTCGCCAATTTATGTAACAAATATAAAAAATATTAAAGTCAAATTAATAATAATTGAGTTTTTCTTTTTCTTTTTTTTTAAAAAGAAATTGGACTTAATACATATTTCATTTAATTCTTTTTAACCAAATTATTTATATTTTTGTTAACTATAATTTTTATTTTTTAAAAGTATTTTAAATATTGTGATTCATAATTCTTTTAACATAATTTTTCAAATTTGAATTTTTGTACATATATACCAAGTTTTTTGGCCGCATTACGATGACAAAATTTTGTAATTTTTCCTAATGTAATGTTATTTTGTTTTATATTTTTTATGCATCTTGTTTAAAATATATCTTCCTCTTACCATTTATTTTAGGATGTGGTCCTTAATTTTGAAAATCCTCTTACCTTGCATTTAGATTTCTTAATTTTAAATATTATATATGTAATTAAATATTAATTTTAAAAAATAGTAACAACAATTTTGTTGATTATAAAGTCTTTTTAGCGAAAAACATTAAGTCAAATCGATATAATACATGACCATTAATTTGGTTTCAGTAGGTAACTATGTTTTTTAATTCTAAGTGTGTAGTAGTAGACACTCAAAATTGTAAAAAATAAAATAAGTAGACACATTTGTCCTAGATGACACAATACACATTAACACTACATAGGACACAAAATTGTCATGTCAGATAAAGACGCATGTGCTCATCTTAAAATGTTAATTAAAATTTATATTATTTGATTTTTAAAAACACTATAACAACTAATAAGAATGAAAAAATAGCATAGTTTTATTTTTATAAATTATTGGTAGAACATTTCCAAACCTTTTTTCAACTATTATTTTTCCTTAAATAATAGGAAAAATTTATTTAACACGTTTGAAACAAACACCACCAAATTTGGTGACGCCCCCCATCTTCTTTCCAATTTTCACCTAACTATATATTTTCACTCTCACATTATAAACCCTCAAAAAAATCAAAATAAACACATTTTTTCTTTCCACAAATATGGCTTCTTTCTTCTGTTCAACCAAGTTCCTTCTACTCCTATTTTTTCTATCTGCAATTCCAATCGCCTTTATCATCCATCTAGAAACTTCTTCTCCGACGACTCACGTTTACCATTATCACAGTACCGGCTGGTTACGCGAGTGTTCTAAATGGGACGATGCTAACCGCCGGTTCATTGTCAGTTTCTTCGAAGGTGGTTTGGGTGTGATTCCGGTTGAGGCCGATTATTCTCCCGGCGACGTACTACAGGAAATGCCGGTAGTGAAAGACGCTGATTTGACCGGTAATGCGTCGCTCGGTTTTACTATAGACCGGGAAAGGAACCGGGTTTTAGTCGCCGTCGCAGATGTTTTGGGGAATCGGTATAGCGCTTTGGCTGCCTATGATTTGACATTGTGGAACCGGGTTTTTCTCACCAAACTTAGCGGTCCAGGTAGTCTCTTTTTTTTTTTTACTTTACATTAATTACTATTAATTATTATAATAGTCTGATGGCCTTTCCAAATTAATTACCCATCATACGCTTAAATAACATAGGAATGAATTAATCGACTTGTTACAAAGAAAGTTATTAGCCTTTACTTATTACATTTTAAAAATTAAAGTAGAACATATGATAAATATATTATAAATTTTAATTTTTTTACATATTAAAATGATAGAAATATATCTTAAATATTAATTAACTATTGCCGTTTGAATTTTAAGTAAAAAAATTGGGATAATTAAAAATAAATAAAATAGTATAATTATTGGTACGTAATAAATTAAATTGAATAGCAGTGTAAGGAATTGGAAGTTAGTTTTTGTCTGGACTTTTTTCTATAGCTTTGATGGCGACCATTTTGCCTCGAGATTCGTGATGTTGTTTTGCTCCTAATTCCTATGATGTAGGTCACCAATAGAAAAAGGAAAAGAAATAAGCATGGGCAGATTACCCATCGGGCGTTCATTCTTAGTCGATTATTTTACTAAATAATTATTTTTTACTTTTTTTCTATGAAAATAAAGAAAAAATATAGTTTTGATTTGACAGAAAATTTAAAAAAATAGAGAAGATTTTTGATTATGTAGTTCTAAATTAAAATTACGTAAAATATACACAGTTGCCCTTTAATCTCGTAAAATAGAGAAGACTTTTGATCATGAGCACATGCCACGTTGAAAGTTGTTACTAAAAAAAGAAAAAAATTATTATTTTGAAAAGACTAAAAAGAAAAGAAGCTATTTTTTTTAAAATAGAGAGAATATTAGTTATTTATTTAATTAAATTAGAAATATTTATTAAATTTTTTTAATAATATCTTTGTAATTAGCTTTTCATTTATAATTTTTTAATATATACGTCTAAAAAAAAGTGTTCACAATTAATTTAAAAGAGAGTGAGTAATGACTAAAAATAGTTAATACTCTACAACTCTTGGGTCTTGTGTCCTATGTCCTAACTACTAATACGGTTGCTTCAACGCAAAACTTAAGAATGAAATTACAATAGTAAGAATTGTGAAGTTTGTGGTCAAAACACAAAATCTATATATCTATATTAATTATAAAATATTTGATTAGAAGTAAAAGGAAAAATTTTAAAGTTAAGTTTAATGATACGAATATATTAATTTTTAGAAACAAACTAAAAATATTGTATAGCATAAATTGAAATTTTCCAATTTGTGGATTGAGATATTGATATTTAATATGGAGTATTTCTTTTTCTTTATAAAATAAACTTATAAGTGGGGTAGTAGAGTCAAATATAGGTTCAAATTTTATCCATAATTTATATATAAATAAAATCAAAATTACAAAAATACTTTGATGTGCTTCTATTGTGTGGTCCACTTTTGCCGGCCAATGAAGGCAGCAAAGTTCACTACCGGATCTTCCTTAACTTCAATTAATACTCCACTTCTTTTTGGGTGGGTACGAAACCACTTAAGGATCGTTTCGGTGAATATAACATTTCAACTAATACTCCACTTCTTTTTGGGTGGGCTGGAAACCACTTAAAGAATCGTTTAGGGTGAATATAACGTTAAATAAATTATAATGTTATTTAATTTGTAAATTTGAAATAATTTATTATGAAATTTATAATTGGTAGTAGGATAAATCATTTCTTTTCTTGAATGGTATAGTAATCACAGAGTAACTTATTTCTTGGAATAAAATAAATAAATGACAAAGATGTTTCTTTAATTTTTTTTATACATCACGTTGCACATTCATGAACGCTATTTTAGTAAAAGAATATCTTGTTCTTAAATATTGGATCGAATTTATATTAACAGATATACACTTGTTATAATCTTATCTACAGACTAAACATTTATTAAATATTGGATCGACGGATAAAATTGCGCCACATGTCCCTATTTAATCTTCCTTATTCTTATGCACGAGTTTTTGGGCGATAGGGGCACCAGTATCCTAAAAGTGTGACGGATGATATTATTTTTTTTATGACAAGGGAAACTCATAGCTGCTACCCTTTTGGGTGTGCACAGGATAAAACCCCCGCTCCTATGCAATAACTCGCAAACCACATAGGAGAGGTAACTCGCACCAGGCAAGCCTGGTGCGACGAGCTCGATCCAAAAGACAAGCCCCTTGCTTTTGCTGGCAAGGGGTTTAAAACTTAAGACCTCCAACATGGAAGTCCCAGGATCAAACCACTGGGCCACCCCAAAGGGTATGACGGAGGATATTATGCATATCATTACACTAGTTTGGGGATATTTTTGTTTCTTTTCCCTATCTTGAAAACAAAAATCAAACACTCAACAAAAAATAATCTTAACATAACTTATCCCACCACAAATTGTATTCAAACCAAACGATTCCTTAAGGTCTTAATTATTCCTATCAATAGGTGAAATAGTAATATCGAGATAATTCATCACAGGATAAAAAGATATAACAACAAAAATATCCCTTTAAACTTTTTTAATACGCTAATTCTTATATTTATGAATATTCACATTATTTCTAATACCATTTATAATATTTACAACCTTCATTACTATTTATTTTTATGATAATTCTTCATATTTTTTAACAAAAAGTTACGCTATATAAATATAATTTTTATTTAAAAAATATATTTTGACTAATTTTTATGTTTATTTTATATTTTTATATTTTAATTTTCTACTACTGAATTACATATTTTTAAATTTTTAATTATATATTTTTTAACCACTTGAGGGTTTGCATTTATCAATTAAAATAAAGATAATTTTAATATTTAAATTTAAGAGTGACATGTGTGATATAAATAATTATTTTTTATACTTTAACAAACTTAAAATGTAAATTTCAATTTGAAGCTAAATAAGATGAATGCTTTATTGTTAAACACATACCATACCATCATGGAAATGCACACATAAAAAATCTTAATTAAATAAGATGAATATTTTATTCTTAATAATGAATAATTAAAGCTTACAAATAAAATATTAAAAGTTAAACAAAGTGAAGAGTATATCTGTAGACAAACAACTTACTTTTAAAATTATGCATATTATATGAAATACAACAAATCAAATTGTGAATAATAAATAATTCCAAACATAATTAATATTAATATAATTTATTTCGATATACCATATTTCAAAACATTTGATGTTTATGAAAAATAAGAAACTTTTGTTACTTTTCGTTTCTTCTTTAGTTCATCACTTTTAATGACCAGTGGTGGACGCACAACTAAGGAGTTATCGCAACCCTTCAACCACTAAACTAAAATTTATTTTTTCGGCAAAGAGACTTCGCTTGACTAAGTTTGAAATTGAAAAAATAGATTAGTACCACTCGGCCATTGTTTGATTGTACTTCTAAAAAATGGTTTGAAGTTAAATAATTGAAAATTTATGAGTGAACATTTGATAAGAGAACATGAAGTTTGAAAGTAATATGATTTCTCTGAATGCCTTTTAATCTTACATATGCTGGACTAGCATGTGGTGTTACGGTAGAAGATAAGATAAAGTAAGTGAAAGCATAAAAGGTTAAGTAATGTGCCTTACTTTACATAAAGGAACAATTCCTGGCATAGGATCTCTTGAAAGATTTATTTATTCAGTTGCTTTGTGGATCTTCTTTCTAGTTGTACGGCTAATGGCTCCTCGATATTTGAAAGATCAGTTGTTAGAGAATAGTTGGGAAGCTATGTTCGTAAGGCTCTCCAAAAATATTGTCACACGTGTGTTGAGTCCTTCATAAATACAACAGTCCGAGCAACATAGTCTCAAAGGGAAAAAATAAGGAGCTTGCCTAACAATATTTTTATTTGTATTAAAGATTTTTTATTGTGTTATATCATGCCCTTAAATGTTCCAAGTTTCAACCCCTTTAGAATTCAATATTCTTCCAGCAAAGAAACTTGAGACGTACTGCAGGTTTGTGTTTGCATGTGACAACAGAGATAAGCCTATTGAGACAGCTAAGACCATTGAGTTTTGAAGTTCTAACATTGTTTTTATCTCTCAATGTGACCTGTAATAATTTTTCTGTTATCCATTCTTGTATAGCTTTGCAAAATTTATTTTGACCAACTATTGTGCCTCAGACATGCAGATATTATTGTATCAAGACTTAAAATCATATGATGACGGAATTGAGTTATGGCCATTAAATGGTTAACAATAAACTAGGCAAAGAAAGCTGGCATCTTGTGCTATTGTAGTCAAATTATTGTTTCACATGTCCAGGTGTGATAGTGTTGGAGCACTTCATTTGTCAAGCAATGACTTTTCGCAGAGGTGAATTCAGGATTTAGAGTGAGTGCGCACAAGATGAGTGTGATTTTATTATTGTTTGAGCCGAAAGTAGTTTGAACTCACATAATTGATCATCCTAAATCCATCTCTGAGTTCTCTTTCTAATTGCTTGATTTTAACTGTAATAATGCTATACTCAAATCTGCAGAGGATGAAAAAGCATTTGCGGATGATGTGGTGGTTGATACAGAAGGGAATGCATATATAACAGATGCAAAAGCAGACAAGATATGGAAGGTAGGCGCGAATGGTGAACTTAAATATACAATCAAGAACTCAATATTTACTCCTAAAGAGTGGTACAATAAACTGGTTGGGCTAAACGGAATAGTGTATCATCCAAACGGATACTTACTGGTGGCTCATACATTCTCTGGCAATTTGTTCAAGATTGAAATCGCCAAAGGTGATGAAGTTAAACTAGTAAAGATTGACTATGGATCGTTGAAATTTGGCGATGGCATGGAGTTACTATCTCCAACCAAGCTTGTTGTGGCTGGAAATCCGACAAGACTAGTTGAGAGCTCTGATGATTGGGAGAGTGGCACTATTGTGGGGAAGGCCAAAGGCGCTATTCATCGTTTAAGTACAGCAGCAACTGTGAAGGAAGGGACTGTTTATCTTAATCATATGATTGGTTTGGGATATCCTAGGAAGAAACATGTTCTTGTTGAAGCTGTTTTTTCTGCTTAATTATTGTTCCATCCATCCCTTTTCATTTGTGTGTAAGAGTCAATTTTATACTTGATTACCACACTACTAATTTATGTTCCTCACATAAAGAACAGTTGTATCGCATCGTATCGTAGGATATACAGTATTTATGTTGTTATGCATCAAGCATTGCAGTATTTGGATGTGTTTTTGCTCTTTTACTATCAAGGAATGCAAGCAAAAAGTATCCAACTACAACAATTTATCATGTTGTCCAGTAATGCTAGTAGTTCTCTCTTTCTATTTGGCATAACACATATATTAGACTTTAAACTTGACTTCAAATTTTAACTTTGACCTCTAACTTTCATAATGCACAAACAAACACTTTAATTATCCAATTTTTAAATAAAACAAACACATGAGTCCTATATGATAGGATATCATGTAGGATAAAAAATAACATGTGTGTCTATTTGTTCAACTTTATACAAGTTTAAATGACACATTTATGTATTAATTTATTTTCTTAAATTTCATACAATATTAAAATGAGACGAACCAATTTAAACAGGAGAGTAATATATTTCAACAAGCTCCTTTTCTTTTTTTTAAAAATATGTTTCAATAGTGTATAGGTCATAAATGTTAAATGCAAAGTGGGGTTTTGAATGGCCTAATATTTTTGGTAGGATGTTTGAATTAAATGAACATAGGATGAAGGGTGTCAACGTTCATTATGAATAGAAAACTTAATGCTTCTTAATTTTATGGAATAGGACCTAACGATGGTTGGTAGAAGCATAGACTTTAATAAGCAAAACCAGAAAAAAAAAAGGAGAACATTTTAGGATAGAGGTTGTTTATCAGAAAAATAGTTATTAGTTAATAGTAAAATTTGTTAAATATGGATAAAAGTGCATCAAGATGGATTAAGTTCATTTTTTTTGTCAATCAATACAAAAATATAATCTTTTAAAAAGAAGTGTGTCCTGATGAGCATTTCCCCGTGCACCAATATAATAATAGTTCATTTCTTCTTAACTTTAAATGCATCAATATAAACATAGTTTACCTAAAATAAAAATAGGCTTGCCGCTTTAGTAGGAATTCGAATTCAATTTAGAGGATGATATTTCTAGCTTCTACCAATAACACAAAAAAATTCTATATTTTTATAAGTGCATTATAACTATATCCAAATTTATACTAGTTTTTCAATATATATATATATATATATATATATATATAGGATCTACATTATACGGAGAAGTGTACGTATACACGCTATATATATATATATAAATAGCGTGTGTACGTACACTTCTCGATATAATGTAGATCCACCCCTGATTTTTCCTCAATATAAAAATGAATATAGAATTTAATTTTATGACCTACTTTTGAAAATCTATCCTGATTCATTAACAGTAAGATCTATTATTTATAATTATTTAATAATTTTTAATATTTGTGAAAGATTTATTTAATTAGAACAAACCCATGTTATAAAAGTTATGGGCAGTATAATATATTATGAATTTTTGCTAAATCGAATATATAAATTTAGAAATTGAATAGCAAAATTTGTAAAATTATAGCTATAAATTAAAAACAATTAAAACCATAACTATATTATATAGAGAAAATGCAGTGTTTAACAGTTTATGTTTGAAATCTCAGAGATACATCTATTTTATAGTAAGATCCTACTAACTCTAAATTTATTTTATCAATAATTTTCTTCGGTCTATGTAACACTATCACGTGGGTCCAACGCGTGTTGATATTTATTTTCAAGCTAGAGTCACGTAGGCCGAAAGGGATATAAAATTATTTATAAAATAAATTTAGAGAATAATAGGACCTAGTGACTAGTATAATATAAATATATCTCTAAAATTTCAGATATAAATTAAGAAAACTTATATATTTTTCCTGTTATATAATATTCTCTAAATGTTTGTTATTTCGCTTAATTTTCCAATTCTTCTATATTATTGCCGAGACGTAACTAAAGGAAAAAAGATGGAAATATTTTTCAATAACCATTTATATTTTATACTACTTATAAATAATAATAAAAAAACGTAACTCGTTTTTTGTCACCATCTTTTCCATAATTCCGCCAGAATCTGAGCACACGTTTCCATTATCTGCTCTCAATAATTTATCATAATTATGTGTAATATTCTTATAATCATTCACTTACGATACATAACCTTTTTTAAATATATTTTTTATATTTCAAAATAAAAATGTGTTAGGGGTAAATATAAAAATTTCTTGTATATTTGCCATAAAATTCCACCGCACATTTGGATGTCAGCATGTGCCCAGTGCCTCTCTGTACAATTTTTTCTTTTAAAAAAGAGAGAATCTTAATTTACGTTTTATCACATATAAATTAAAAAGAATTTAACACTTATTATATAGATATTTAAAAAACAATTTTAATGAAGATATTATTAATGAACAATTTGAATTCTTTCATTCACATTAAATACTCATCTATTTCTATACAAAGTATTTTGACCAGGAGAAATGTAAAAGATCTTTTGAAATATTTTATTTCTCCTTAGTCCTTACTAATGATATTCTAAAAGATCAAATTTTCAATTAAAGAACAGATAAATTATTAACTTCTTTGTTAGAGGGAGTTGCTCGAACATTAAACATAATAATAAAATAAAAAATGGCTCATGCCTCTTGCCTATGTATATTTACAGCATGTGCATATTTAACAACTACTCCTTTAAATGGAGTTTAGATGTAACCAAAAGTTAAATAAAACCAAATTCACTCACTTTTTGTCAATTTTGTCATAATTCTCATTATCTGCTTTTTCATGGTCATTGTTTGATTAATTATTTTAAATTTGAACCTATCCATTTGATTTTCATTAGTTGTAGTACTATATTTTTATATTAAATTTTGCATGTGACACAGTGCATTACTATACCTTAACCACTCTTCTTGACTTGTAGTGGAGTACTATAATAGAAGAGGAAAAAAGAAGCCCTGAGAAATAAAACAACAGTTTACTCAGAGAAAATCTGATGGAGAAACAGAGAAGTTTCTCCATTAAACCTACAAGGCTATGGCTTTTCTCTTTCACCATTTCATTTTCTCTAATCTTTTTCATCTTTTTCTCTATATGGGTTCTCAACCTTCCATTATATAGCCGTCAAGAAACTCATATTCAGTTCAACAGTAGTACTGCTACTGCTGCTTCTGCTTCTGCTTCAGTCTCTTTGAGACCCAGATCTCCTTTCAAGATTCAATCTTTAACTGGTTTTCACAAAAATTACTCAGCAACCCAAATCAAGAACTCAATTTTGGTGAGTACCCATTTCAATAGAGTTGAAAATGAGTCCCAAGTTTCTAACTTTTCAACATTTGAGGGAATCTTGGATAAGGAAAATCAGCCACAATCAGTGGCTTATGATATAAATAGTGAAAAAAATTCGACCTTTTCTGGTAACCGTTCGACTAAATCTGAAACTGTTTCTTCTAAGCGTCTTGAAATAGAAAGTACCAATAGTAGTATTCCTATTTGGAATCAGCAGCAGCAGCAACAGCAGAATGTGTCTATTGTTTTGTCTAAGAAAGAAGAAGCTTCTAGTAATTTGCTTAAGGTGGTGAATAAGAAAGAATGTGATATCACTAAAGGGAAATGGGTTTTTGATGAGAGCTATCCTTTGTACACAAATGCTTCATGTCCCTACATTGATGAAGGTTTTAGTTGTGAAACTAATGGAAGATTGGATAAGAATTATATGAAATGGAGGTGGCAACCTCAAGATTGTGACATTCCAAGGTAAAACAATAAAAACTTGACTTTTTTACCCCTTGTATTTTTCCTTTTTTTTGTGTATGTGTGTGGATTCATTGCTTAAGTTGTACACCTCCATTGTCTGGCTAGTAATAGAGTAAGAAGATTTATTAGAAAGTTTGAAATAAAATAATTCTTAGCTTGTAACTTTTGTGTGGTACAGGTTCAATGCTACTCAGATGTTGGAACTTATTAGAGGTAAAAGATTAGTGTTTGCTGGTGACTCCATCAACAGAAATCAATGGGAGTCGATGTTATGCTTGTTAATGGGAGCAATAAAAGATCCAAGAAAGGTTTATGAGACTCGTGGTCGGAGAATAACCAAAGAGAAGGGAAATTATTGTTTCAAATTTGTGGTAAATAATTTGAATCTTTAATTAACTGAATAGGCAAAGAATTGTGTTTTTCCAGTTTTCAATTTTTTTTTGATGTCATTATTGCAGGACTACCAATGTACAGTTGAGTACTATGTAACTCATTTTTTGGTTCATGAGGGCAAGGCAAGGATAGGCAGCAAACGGGCGCAGACCTTGCGTATTGATACGATGGACAAAGGTTCATCAAGATGGAGAGGGGCTGATATCTTGGTCTTTAACACTGCTCATTGGTGGAATCACCACAAGACTAAAGCAGGGTAAGCCTTTTGTTGATAGATTATAGCCAGGCAGATTCACTGTTCTTTTTCTAGCCTGTATACATATACTATACACTGATTATATGCGGATTATATATGGATTATACATCGGCTGGCTATTTTTAGCTTAAAAAGTTGGGTGGACGGTTATTTAGGTTAATTCTGCTACTTTGTTCTTCTTCGAGTTTAAGTTCTGCCAAAGACTAATGGTATGAATATGATCTCTCTAAGAAGTTCTTAGTGTAATGATCCATGTGAAGATTTATTTTAGAATATGGTACTTGGAAGTTACTTGCAGGTTTTAACTGATGTTTAATTGGAGAAGCCTATATTGGCCTGAGATGAGCTTAAATTTTGCGACATCATCAATGAGGATTCATGTAGATCAAATTAAACTTGTTTGAGATTTTGGCAAATAATTGCCGTTTAATTGGAGTACCCAACATTTTGATATGAAACCTAGTCATGATATTGTGATAGCATATAGAAAGAACCTGGCAATACCGGTTAATGAGCTAGATTGTTTTTTGGTGAAAATCAATCCTGTCAATTCTTACTATGAAGATAGAAAATAAGTTAGTAGTATTTTTGTGTGTGATGGATGCTGCATTAGCTTCCTCTAGTTACTCTCGCGTATATAATTGGTACTGTCACAACAGGAAGAATTACTACCAGGAGAGGAATCAAGTACATCCTCGTCTTGATGTTTCAACAGCTTTCGAAAAAGCCCTGACAACTTGGGCATCATGGATTGATAGACATATCAATCCAAGCAAAACACAAGTTTTCTTCAGGAGTTCTGCTCCTTCTCATTTCAGGTATGCCTTAATTTTGCTTTGCACATTCTCACAAGATCTGTGATGTATTGGCTACATGGCTCATCATTCTCTTCTTAAATTGGACAGTGGGGGTCAGTGGAACACTGGTGGGCACTGCAGAGAAGCTTCTCAACCGATCCCTGAGACTTACAGAGGCGAATATCCAGAGAAGAACATAATAGTGGAGCAAATAATAAGCAAGATGAAGATTCCAGTTACTTTTTTGAACATAACTGGTTTGTCAGATTACAGGATTGATGGTCATCCTTCTATATATGGAAGAAAACCGGGTAGCTCTTCGCGTGTTCAAGATTGTAGCCATTGGTGTCTTCCAGGGGTTCCAGATACTTGGAACGAAATGTTATATATGCATTTAGAAAGTACTAGAAGAAAAAGTTTGCCCAACTGAAACTTCATCCTCAAATTGAAATTCTTTCATTTGTTCCGCATGTTTGATAAGCTGTATATAGCTGTGAAGTTGAGGTTTGTCAATTGTTCTCTTTTGGTGTGCCAATTATTATGTCTAGAGATGGCAAATGGACGGATTAAAATAGGTTCAAATTAATACAACAGCAAACGTTGCAAAATATGAACCTAAGTTCTTCCAAATTTTAAATTTGGCTTCACCTTTGTTCCCATTATCAAAAAAAAGATTCAAGGCAAAACTGGTTCTAAACAGAGTAAAAGGAAACAGATCTATATATTACCAGACACCTTGTTCGGACGACTACAGTATACATGTTTCCTTCAATATTTTTCTGCTTATTCTTTACATAGCTGGATCCTCTCTCCTATTACTTCTTTGATGTCTTATTATTATTAGCACACTATAATGTAAAAAATATAAAGGAACCCCTCAACAAAGAACAAACAAATAAATATCTTTATGACTGCTTTATTACAGTATATAAGAGAAGTAGTACAGCTTCCTCTGTTCCTCCTCCATGTGAAGCACTCCACAGATAGAAATGGTTAAGCATGCTGTCTCAATGAGATTATTGGTGTTTCTTTGGTCGACCTAAAGGCGCTGGTGAATCATCTCTCTTTGTGCCCTCAGGTTTCCTAGCCCATATTGGCGCTTGATCAGGACCATAACGATAATCATAGAAAAGCTCCTCACTAGCTTCAATACGTTCCTTTGCAAATATCCCAACTCGATGATCACCAGCAACCAGCATTACCTAAAAGATGTTGAATCAGCAACAATCAGAAAGTTAATTGAACTCTAATACTTAGGATTGTATGTACCTTAGCAAAGCAGTTTGGGTTTGATGAGTGATTGGCAAATTTCAGCTTGTCTCCCTTCCGATAGGCATCGAGGACATACTGCAATAAAGAGATGAAAGCAGGAGATGAAATGTCATCAAGGCTCATAAAATTCTCTAACAAGTTAGCTTAAGCTGTTAAATTAATACACCTTCTAGATCACAACTCAGTCATATTTACAAAGAACAAAAAAATAAATATACAGTAACCTCAATATCAAAGAATTAGGATTGAATTGCCAAAAGGAGAACACCCCTGGTAAAATAATGAAAGTTTCATTTGGAATGACTTGTCTAGCTTTTGATCCCCAGCCCAGGGTTCACTCAAAAGGAGGGATTAGTTAACTGCCTTATGTTATCATTCCTTCGGTTGAAGATATCAGGCATACAGGTAGAAGAATCCAAAACTTGAATGACAAGTAAATCCGGAGGACATCACAGGCTAAAAATTGGATATTTTGGAATTGGAAACTTTAAAGCACCAAATTCACCACTGAAAATTCATAACAACTTCTCTGAACCAGACTTCTAGACTGTTGAAATAAGAGCATATACCTGCTAGGGTATACAAGGCAGGGTGGTTGGTCCTAAGTTTCAGATTTTGCAATACAAGGGAGTATCAGAATATCTCAAATATAAGCAGTGCTCACCTGATCATTCAAGTCGAAAAGGAAAGACGAATTTGCACGATCATATATTTTCCCCCGCTTATCTGCTTCTCGATGAGAAATTAATTCACCCGTATATTCTCCCAGGTAATCATTTTTGTAAACAGGGTTCTAGACGCAAAAAGATTAAAAATTAAATTAGTTTATTAATACATTGTAGCACTAGCTTAAGAAGCACATGTGTCATACAGGAATACGATTTACCTTCAGGAAGGCTCCCCATCCAGCAACTTCAGATTTTGACAGCAGAATCTGTAACAGAAATGATGCAAGACAAATTGAAAAGGGAGAAAAGGGAAGATAGACAGTTTGATAACAGAAATAGTAATTGAAACCCCTAAAATGTCTCACCCTTTGTTGCTGCCTTAGGAGGAGCCTCATGTTACCACATTGACCTTCTCCTTGCCTAGGAGGCTCACCCAATGAGCCATCACCACAGCTGAAAAGTGTGTCAATGTTCCAAGCAGAAGTACAAGGGTGAATTTAGAGGCTACAGTCTAGCAACATCTTACCTAACCCAACAATTGCGGCAGACATCAGGATCACATTCACGTCCAGCAGCAAAACATGGACATTGTCTGCTTCTGCATTGACTTTTTGCACAGTGACATCCACGGAAACGATTTTTACAGCTTTTTGAGCAGCTAAAATGGAAGAAGAGATATTAGGAGATATGACAGGTTCCTAAAATAATATCGGAAAGCGAACAAATGAGTTCCCCGCTAGCCCTAAGCAAACCAAAAAAATAGAGCAAACATCAAGTTGAACAACTTTTTTAACAACGAAAACAGTCAAGGACATCGAGCTGTAGTCTTCTTTCACATGAAAATGAATGCAATTGAGGACATAATTATTCTAGTTTATTGAGTCCTGTTCAACTATGCCAGAGTTCAATGTATGGTAAATGCAACAAAGAGTTGATGCACTGGACTACTCTCATCTGTGGTGAGCACAAATGATCAATTCATAGAATTAAACAGAGCAACCAACGAATCCAGGAGGAGAGGGGTGCAAGAGAACAAGCTTTACAGGAGGGCATGGAAGTAGTTAAAAGAGAAAAATAGAAGAGAAAAAGGTGGACTGGAGAGGCATCTGACTTAACAAGTCAAAGACGAAATCCTTTATTGATAAATTCAAACGCTCAACATACCCACAATACTTTTCACAGCAAGTACCATTCTGCAAACAAGGACAATGCTTTCCACACATCGGCTGGCATCCACATGGATTATATTGTATACATGATTGATTCTTTCCATCGGCCATTCTTCTCCAGATTGAGGGATGCCCAGAAGACTTTGAGGAATATTTCAGTTTGCGTGTTCTGCCTCTTCTACGAAGAAAACGTGATTTCGTCGGAATATCTAGCTCCTAAATAGACAAATACATCAATTAGTTGGATATACACCATGAAGGAAGTAACTCAAACTAATCTAGGAAAGTAGAATGCTAACAAAATAAAATAAGCTGTTTGAGCATTTTCAATTCCTGTAGCACCTTATATGGTAGTAAGTATGTTCCACTTATAGCATGAGAAATTCAAGGGAAACAAATACTCTCATATCTGCATTAATTTCCAAAGAAGAAGATCCGACTTTCTTGAATTCCTAAAATAAACCTGTGCATCATTCTGATGCTTCAAAATTGAACTAGAAGTAATTCTTGACAATATGATTTTTCCTTCTGCATGTGAAAATATCTTATTCTGGCTAGAAAATACCATGGTTTTTTCTTTGAGAGCCAAAAGGTACCCCACTCTTGTAAAATACAAAAAAAAGAGGGTACAAAATGTTAGAGGGTAGCATGGCCTGCTGCTCCAAATATTTATAACTGTCAAATGGTCTCATGAATACTATAAAATCCATGATGATTTTTCTTTTTATTGCAAGGCTGATAGCTTGGAACAGTCTGTTCAGACTGCTTTGTCCAAGTTATAGACTGAAATTAGAAGTCTGTATGCAGCCCTAGGTTATACTACAAGAACTAAAATAATAACCTTCATGAATTAACTTTTTTAGGTAATTTATTGTAAAGTGAGATTAACGAGTGCCTGTATTATAATTTATCGCACTAAAATATCGATATGGACTTTGATGCAATGTGATGTTTGGTTTTGCAATTGGGCTAACTTTTTACTTTGAACTTTATCATTGGATTTAAGTCCATCATTTGGTAGGGGAAGCCTTTTACCATTTTAGGATTTGAAGAGAAGACCAACAATCCCATTAACACTATCCTTGTCCTTGGATTGAAAAATATCAGCATAAGGAGTTAGTTTTATGAGGACAAGGATAATGTTAATGGGATCGTTAGTATTAATATGGGGACACTGCTGGATTGAAAAAATATAAGCATTAAAAGGACAATGCTGTACAAACACCCAATTATTAAGCAGGTAAAATATGTTCCCAAATCTATGTACCACATGAACCCCTCAGTCGTCTCAAGGTCTGAGGAATATGAGGATTCATGTGTATCTTTGGGCCAATGCATCAAGTAAATGAGTTGGCATGAAGAGGAGCACAAACCATGTAATCCATGTCAGCTTTCCCATTATCCTCCGAAAATAAGCTTGAGGAGCCTCCACGTTGCGCCGCTGCTCTGTTATCCATGTAAGAGGATACCTCCATACAAGTTTTCAAGCCAGGAAGTAAGTTTCTAGCAATTAGGCAACTGCAATGAATGAGATATCCATTAGAGCTGACACATATTGACACAGCAATCTCATTTCAGCATATCAATCACAAGAATCTGTTACCAAAACTTAATCAACTTCATGTATTCAAGAAGTACGAACAAGTGGTGGGGAGGGGTTTAGAATATGATCTGCATGAAAAGAAAGAGCAGATTTCTCATGAGGGACCAGATCAGCTAGAGTATGGTGTAGCATTTACCCATGTGCTCCTTTTGTCTCGTAACATTTAAAAAAGAACTTCAACATATCCTTAATGTTGATGAATACAATTTACCAATTTCAAAAAAAAAAAAAAACATTTAAAAAAGAACTCTCCTTAAATGTAAAAGGGTCCCTGGAAGACCAGAAAAAAGATGAATGTTCCCTACTTTCACTTCTATGATTGACTGATTGATTGATACTGAGGAAAGTTCAGTAACTAATCTTGGCATAGAAAGAAACAAAAACTTTAATAGCTAACATCTGGTCTTTTATACAGGCATATCACAGGTAAAGTGTAACAACAACAACAACATGCCTAGTGCAATCCTAAGATGTACACAGACCTTACCCCTACCTATATGGGGAAGATAGACTGTTTGCCATTGATAGACCCTCGGCTTGAAAGAAAAGAAGAATTTGAAGCTCTGGCCATGAAGCTGTAGACTACATACTATCTGTGTCTCCACTCCTCCCCCAAGCCCCTTAGCCGCCAACTACACCCCCTATCACCTAGGCTCTAGTGTGAGCTAGAAAAATATCCCTGAGTTGGATGCTGATTCATTTATCACAATAATAAAAGTGAAAAGGACTCCAAAAAAATCTGATACTCGATCACCTTCATATTGTTTATTGCTTAAATGACATCAATAATACTTCTGTAAAAGATAATTTAACATAGCATAAGATCCCAGAAAATGCAGTACAGCTAAAGCCATCCCCTGTTCATAGCTCACTGACCAATTCTACTTATCTAAACT